GAAGGTATGTGGGAGACTTGTCTTTATTTGACGAGGCATAGAATCTAAGAGGCTATGCTGGAACTAGGGATTCTATGGTTCTTTGAAAACGTTGTTTAGGCCACAGCTAGATTATTGCATGCAATTCTGGAATCCACATTATTGGAGGCATGTGACAGCATTAGAGAGGGTACAGAGGAGATTTACCAGGATGTTGCCTGCGCTACAGATTTTCAGTGATGAAGAGAGATCGGACAGACTGAGATGGAGAAGAGAATTGATAGAGATGTATAAAATCACGAATGGCATAGATAGACAGGAAGAAACTTTTCTCCCCTTGATGGAGGGATCAATGACTAAGAGGCATAGATGTAAGATAACAGGGCAGAAGGTTTAGAAGAGATATGACCAAAAGCTTTTCTACACAGAGGGAGTCTGGAACTCACTGCCTGTAAGTGTGGTAGAGGCAGAAACCCTCATAACATTTAAAAAGTATTTACATTGTGGGCCAAATGCTGAAAAATAGTTCGGTGGTTGAATTTGACCAGCATGAATGCAATGGGCTGGAGGGTCTTTTCTATGGTGTAGAACTTTATGACTCTAGATTGAGTTTTACTATGCATGGATATAATTGCACTGTAGCAAATAAAATTGGTCATAAAAAGAGAATTTCAGGTCAACAGGAAAGTACAGGCAGATGGATTAGACAAGGTGGTCTTGAAAAGAATTGGCATGAACCTGATAGGCTGAAGGGCCTGCTTCTGTAGTTATTCTACAACTTGATTGAGGTTTGAGATAAAGGGGAATAGATAGGCAGATACTATTTCCACTGGTTGGGAAGGCTATGACTATTAGGATAGTCTAAAAATTAGAGCAGAACATTTTGGGAGTGAAATTGATCAACACTTCATGCAAAGGGTGACGGAATTTTGAATCTTATTTGTGCAATAGTGTTCCAAAGTTGGGTCAGATGTCAATCTTAGCAAAGTAACAGAGTTCTTTGTGGCCAAAAGTTATTAAGTGATATGCAACAAAGATGGGTGTAAGGAGTTAGGTCACCTATCTCTTTGAATGTCAGAAACAGGCTGAAGGGATTAAGCTGCGCATTCCTGTTACTATACATCTATCCCCAATTTTCAGATCACAGTCAGAAGGTCTCTCAGTTAGGCAGGCCCCTACACTTCAACACATCCTACAAGCCACTTCTAGACACTTCTCTCCTTTGGTCACAATATCAAGTGGCTGAATTTATTTTTATAGACGTGGGACATTGTTGTTGTTGGCTGGCCATTTATTACTAGTCCCAGTTGCACTTGAAAGATGGTAGCGAGCTGCTTTCTTGAACTGCTGCAATCCATGCACTGTGGGTACACCTATAATGCCCTCGGCTGGGGGTGGGGAAATCCAGGATTTTGACCGAGCAACACTGAAAAAAATGGCGATATATTTTCAGTCAGGGTGGAAAGTGGATTAGAGGGAATTTGCAAGTGGTCGTGTTTCCATGTATCTGCTGCCCTTGGCCTTCTCGATGGAAGTGGTTATAGGTTTGGAAGGTACTGTCTAGGAATCTTTGGCGATCTGGGTTTGGAGATGTTTGCACTAGTAGGAGAGGCTAGGACCTGAGAGCACAGCCTCAGAGTGAAGGAATAACCATTTAGAACTGAGCTGACAGGAATTTCTTCACTCAGAACACAGTTAATCTGTAAAACCTATTGTACAGAGGGCTGTGGCAGCCAAGTCATCAAGTGCATTTATGACAGAGATAGATAGGTTTTTGATTAGTAAGGGGATCAAGGGTTTGGGGAGAAGGCAGTAAAATGGGTTTGACAAACAGATCAGCCATGAGTGAACAGCAGAGCAGACTGGAAGGGCTGAATGGTCTAATTTTGTTCCTGTGTCATAAGGATTTTCTTCAGGGTATCTTGTTGATGGTACACAGTACTGCTACTGAGCATCAGTGCTGGAATAACTGAATACTTGTTGATATGGTGCTAATCAAGCAGGCTATGTCCTAGGTGGTGTTGAGCTTTTTGAGTGTTGTTGGAGCTGCACTCATCCATAAAAGTGGGGAGTATTCCATCACGTGCCTTGGACATAGAGGAGAGGCTTTCGGGAGTCAGGAGGTGAGCTACTGGCTGCAATATTCCAAGCTTCTGACCTGGTCTTGTAGCCAATGTGTTTATGTGGCAAGTCCAGTTCAGTTTTTAGTCAATGGTAAGCCAAGGATGTTGATAGTGGGGGATTCAGTGAGGGTAACACTGGTGAACGTTAAGGGACGGTGGTTAGATTGTCTGTTATTGGTGATGGTCACTGCCTGCAACTTATGGCATGACCGTTATTTGCCATTTTCAGCCCAAGCCTGGATAGCATCTAGATCTTGTTGAAGCAGTCCATGTTAGAATGCAATGTTTGAGGAATCATGAATGGTGTTGAACATTTGTACCATCATCAGCAAACATCCCCATTTCTGACCTTACGATGGAGGGAAGGTCATTGATAAAGCAGTTGAAAATGGTTGCAAATGGGGAAAATGGTTGTGGTTGTTGGACTTTAGTCATCTTGGCTCCAGGACATCTCTGCAGGAGTTCCTCAGGGTACTGTCCTCGGCCCAAGGTATGACTCTAATGAGCAGAGAAAATTTGTGAAGGCTCCTTGATGCCACAATCTGTTAAATGCAGCCTTGATGTCAAGGCCTATCACATTCACTTCACTTTAGTGCTTCAGAAGATTTCACAACAATGCAGGAAAGCTCTTCTGCTATCATTTCTTGGGATGTATGCCAACTCACACTGTGAAAGGCAAGAGTATCCAGGAACATTTCTATCCAGGCGAGGGAGCACAAATAAAAAAAAGCTGCTAATGACTTGTCACCAAGTTTCATAGAGATCATAGAGATTGCTGCTTAAAACTAACAAAAAAAAAGCATGAATTTCCTTTTTATAAAAAATTCAATCTTGGGATGTGAGGCAGTGTTTATTTGCCTGTTCCCAACCACCTTCGAGAAAGTTGCAGTAAGCCATTATTTTGAACCACTGCTGTCCATGTGGAGGGAGAAAGTGGCCCCTTGTATTCTGGCTCTTCCCAGCCCTGGCATTTGTGCCACTCAAGATGGCGGTGAAGCAGGGGTCCTGAGCTGGAACCTGTCCACTTCGACCACTTTTCTTTTTCTTTCACTCCCCCCCCAACCCCTTATCTTTTTTCTATTTTCCTTTACTTACCGCTTGTCCTGAGCACGGATGCCATCGGCAATGAGAGCCCAGTGCAGATCTCAAGCGGGCCCACAGCAGAGGATAGTGGGCTCTTACTTTCCAGGGTGAACATCAGAATTGGCAGCTGCTACATTAGCAATGTCAGCCCAGTGGCAAAAAATGGTACCTGAGGAATGACAGCTTGGTTGTGGTAATGAGCTGGTTCCAGACTGATTGACTCTTCAAGCTATAAAAGGATCGTAACTTCCCCTCCTCGGTGGTCGAGAACGCCCTCAACCGTGTCTCCCACATCTCCCGCACCTCATCCCTCACACCCCGTCCACGCAATAAAAACCAAAAAAGAATCCCCCTCGTCCTCACGTACCACCCCACCAACCTCCGGATCCAACGCATCATCCTCTGACACTTCCGCCATCTGCAATCCGACCCCACCACCAAAGACATCTTTCCCTCCCCACCTTTATCTGCTTTCCGGAGGGACAACTCTCTCCGTGACTCCCTTGTCCGCTCCACACTCCCCTCCAGCTCCACCACACCCGGCACTTTTCCCTGCAACCGCAGGAAGTGCTACACCTGCCCCCATACCTCCTCCCTCACCCCCATCCCAGGCCCCAAGAAGACTTTCCACATCAAGCAGATGTTCACCTGCACATCTGCCAATGTGGTATACTGCATCCGCTGTACCCGGTGTGGCTTCCTCTACATCGGGGAAACCAAGCGGAGACTCGGGGACCGCTTTGCAGAACACCTACGCTCGGTTCGCAACAAACAACTGCACCTCCCAGTCGCGAACCATTTCAACTCCCCCTCCCATTCCTCAGACGACATGTCCATCCTGGGCCTCCTGCAGTGCCACAACGATGCCACCCGAAGGTTGCAGGAACAGCAACTCATATTCCGCTTGGGAACCCTGCAGCCCAATGGTATCAATGTGGATTTCACAAGTTTCAAAATCTCCCCTCCCCCCACCGCATCCCAAAACCAGTCCAGCTCGTCCCTGCCTCCCTAATCTGTTCTTCCTCCCACCTATCCCCTCTCCCCACCTCAAGCCGCACCTCCATCTCCTACCGACCAACCTCATCCCGCCCCCTTGACCTGTCCGTCCTCCCTGGACTGACCTATCCCCTTCCTAACTCCCTACCTACACTCACCTTTCCTGGCTCCATCCCCGCCTCTTTGACCTGTTTGTTTCCTCTCCACCTATCCTCTCCTCTATCCCTCTTCTATCCGCCTCCCACTCTCTCCCTATTTATTTCAAAACCCCCTTCCCCTCCCCCTTTTCTGATGAAGGGTCTAGGCCCGAAACGTCAGCCTCTCTGCTCCTATGATGCTGCTTGGCCTGCTGTGTTCATCCAGCCCTGCACCTTGTTGTCTCTTTCCATTTTCCTTTCCTTTTTCTTAAATTGTTCAAAATGGTGCCAGATCATGGCAACTCTGGAAAAGCCTTTCACTGTATTTTACCGTTTTTCTTCTCCACTATAAAATATATGTGACAATATAATCATTCATTCAGTCCTATAAAGGCCAGTATTCCATAAGTATTTTTAAATTAGTTCATGCACTTAATTATTGGTCCATAAATTGCAATGCCCTGGATGGTTCAATCAACTAATTTAGCAAAATGTTCAGCACCTATGCCAACATTTGTTGCTTGGGCACACCCATGAAAAAAAGAGACCACAAGGGTACCCAGTATGCCCATCCTTAATGTAGTTGGAGGAATGAACGCCCCATCCTGTTTAGGGAGATAGGATAGAGGGAAGGAGGAGAAAATTCAGTTCAGGGAGAAATAAAGTGCAAAATTCCATTTGCTTAGATTTCAAGCTTGATATCATTTTCACTTTTGCAATTTACACGGAGGCACTGAATACTTGAAAGAATCCAAAGGTTTACAACAATACAGAACAAACCTTTACAGAAGTTGCAAAAGCACACATTCTCCAATACCTTTTGTTAAAAAGAGGAATATTTTGTAAATTTGAGCAATTATGGACGATACAACACTACCAAAATTAACTGCAGTGTGGAAAACAAATAGATCTCAATTTCCACTGATATCAATTAAAGGGGTTTTAAAAATGTGTAAAATTCTCCCCCCTTAAACAGAATGCTGTAGAACCCAATACTTTATTGGGACACATGAACACATTTATCATTTCATAACACATTATCTAAAAAAGCCATTCTGTTAGTGCAAATTTCACTGAAAAAAGCTTTTTTTAATACACTACATACCCCATCAAAAAAAAAAGGAAATAAATAAGCATACAAACAGCCAATTGTACAGGTTGAATAGTTACTTCTGGCTGCCGTTCTTGGTTCTGAACTGACTCACAAACAGCCGAAGATGAGGTTCTATCATGCATTTGCAGGATTACCATCAGCTTGGACGCTGCTGCTGTAAGGATGAATAGAAGCATGAGGTTTACGTGAAGTGTGTCTGTCAGAAGAAGAGAGTGTGCAGGAAACACATTTGTCTTGAATATCCTCCTTGAGGCCAGCCCACAGTCACTGTTTGACCCGACTGGAGACAACTGAAAGACCAGTGAGGGTGAATAGATGGCAACAGTGGCAGAGTACTTGGCCCTTTCACAAATTACCACCAGGCTACAGAGGGGGTTGCCTTAAATTTACAAGCAGATCTAAGCTGGTTGGACACAGTCTATTTGGTAGGTAGAGCTGCATAGACCATATGATTGTAGGTAAAAATTAATGTTTTCCAAAGTCCAGGCTTGCTCAGCACACCAGGTTGCTTTCTAAAAACACTGACAGCACATTTTGACGCACTGGAAGAGTTGTTTGTCTGCCTCTGCTTTCACCTTCCTCGCTTCTCTTTCACACTATAGTGAAGGACCATTGGTGTTGGCTGAAATAAAAAGCAGAAAGTGAAGTTAAAAAATAAAATGGGAAAATGCAGGGTTACAGGGATAGGAGAGGTTGTGGTGGGTGCAAGCGGGATGCTCTTCAGAAAGTCAGTTTGGATTCGATGGGTCAAATGGCCTGCTTCCACACTGTTTGGGTTCCACGATTCTTCTACTCTACCAAACCCATTCAGAATTTTGTTTCACTCGAGTTGCTTTTCATTTTTGTGAACTCAAGAACATAAAGGCCCCGATTCTGCCAACTCTCGCATTCCAGGCATCATTCCAATGAGCCTTTACTACATCTTGAGACCAATATATCCTTCTGTTAATAAGATGACCAAGAATGTACACAATAACCTAGATGTAGTCCCAAAGCCCTATATAATTATACAAGACCCTTACTCATACACCAACGCCTCTGGCTAACATGCTATTTGCCTTAATTGCTTGCTTAGCTGAATAACAATCCACGCACATGGATCTCCACATTCTTTGATGAGCAACATTAACTAGTCTCATAACTTTTAAAGCCATCTTTTCCCAGTCTTCACACCAAAGTTGTTGACTCTAGTGCCACTATTCAAAGGATGCCATGCCTATATCTTCTGATCTGTTTTCTTATGGCAGCCATGGCACAGCAAGTAGAATGCCAACCTGGTTTGAAAGTTGTGGATTCAAGTCCCATACCAGAGACTTGGGCACAAAATCCATACTTACAGATCAGTACCAATTTCTGTTTGATAACGCTGTTATGAAACTCCTGGCCATTTGGCTCTATAATGCAAACTGTTGTTGAAAAATTATAAAAGCATGATGAGATGAGGTTACAAAAAAAATTAGCAGCATGTGCCACTGTAGAAACTAAGGAGTTCAGTTCCCGCTGAAGTGAATAGGAAGCAGTTATAGTGAGTTACACAATTACTGGTGAGAGTTCTTTTGCAAAGTGGTGCCAGTCACTAATGCAACATTTACACCCCTTCCCCCAAGCCCTAGAGAAACTGCCTTTACAGAACTTACATTGTTCTGAAAACTCTGCCTCGATGCAAGCAATAGAAAATAACAGAAAATCCAACTCCTAAAGCTATTCATCAATGTCACTACCCAGGCTTCTCAACATATGCCATAAACAGTTTCCAAAATTGGGTCGTTATTACAGAACAATGAAGAAGTGTAGACTTCAACCTTTGTGCCCCACACTTTGGAACTTTCCCTCTTGACCTCTCACATTAATTTACACTAGAACACTAACTTTTTGGCCTTGGCATTGATCACCCACCCCTGAGATTGCCCCTTCAATTGCAAACCAGCTGGCAAATTCCACTGTTGCAGGTAGGAAGGTAAATTATCAAAGATAGGAATTCAAGAGTTTAGAAGATCGTGAGTTCGTGACTCATTCTATTAGGTTGAGACAAATTGCAAACTGCTCTTCAGTGCAGAATCAAAGGGATGCTGCACTGCCACAAGAGCCATCTTTCAGATGAACATGGTAAATGAAAGGGGCTGTGTAGTGTCTCAGGTGGATGCAGAAGATACCATGCTACTTCTTCAAGGAGAAGAGGGAGATCTACCCAGTGTACTAGTCAATATTCCTTCAACACCCCAAAAAATTCATTTCTCATTATTATGGTCACTATTTGTTTGCCATACCTTTCTGACAAACTCCTAACATTCCCTCCCTTATACCCAATCCTAGTGAAACTGTTGGGGAAACCTGTACACCACTTCCAAAAGTTACTTCTTGCTTTTATCATTTCTCATTGTTACATAAATCTTTTTCCATGTCTAGATTCCCTGAACTCAGGTCATTCCTCGCTAGTATCCAAAAATCATAATTAATCAACAGAGCTACACCATGTCCACTTGGTCTGTTGATTTACTCTTCAATTTCTACACTATCCATTCATGTCACAGTCTATTTATCATTTCCCTTAACATCTTTTTCTCTTGCCTTGTCTCTACTGGTGCAAAAAGACACAAAAGTTATGCTGCAACTATACTGGATAGAAAAACCCTGGATAGACCCTATCTGGAGTATTTTGATCCCATTTGATTCTTTGCTCCCACTACTAAGTTTAAAACTCCATCTAGGTCCCTTATTACAAGCCCACTCGAACACCAGCCTCAGCACAGTTTCCCGATACTTGCTCCCAATAAACTGGAACCAATTTCAAGTGCACCAGTCATTGATTGACACATGAATTTCTCTAGTCTTAACACCATAAGATGTACAAGCAAAAGTAGGCCATTCAGTGATCGGGGCTGTTGTGCCAATGAGATCACGGTTGATCTGATAATCCTCAACTCCGCCTTCCTACCTTTTCCCCATAACCCTTCATTCCCTGAGATAGTAGGAACTGCAGATGCTGCAGAATCTGAGATAACAAGGTGTAGAGCTGGATGAACACAGCAGGCCAAGCAGCATTGGAGGAGCAGGAAGGCTGACGTTTCGGGCCTAGACCCTTCTTCAGAAATGGGGGAGGGGAAGGGGGTTCTGAAATAAATAGGGAGAGAGGGGGAGGCAGATAGAAGATGGATAGAGGAGAAGATAGGTGGAGAGGAGACAGACAGGTCAAAGAGGTGGGGATGGAGCCAGTAAAGGTGAGTGTAGGTGGGGAGTTAGGGAGGAGATAGGTCAGTCCAGGGAGGACGGACAGGTCAAGGGGGCGGGATGAGGTTAGTAGGTAGGAGATGGGGGTGGGGCTTGAGGTGGGAGGAGGGGATAGGTGGGAGGAAGGACAGGTTAGGGAGGCGGGGTCTGGTTTTGGGATGCGGTAGGGGGAGGGGAGATTTTGAAACTTGTGAAGTCCACATTGATACCATTGGGCTGCAGGGTTCCCAAGCGGAATATATGAGTTGCTGTTCCTGCAACCTACGGGTAGCATCGTTGTGGCACTGCAGGAGGCCCAGGATGGACATGTTGTTTGAGGAATGGGAGGGGGAGTTGAAATGGTTCGCGACTGGAGGTGCAGTTGTTTAGCGTGAACCGAGCGTAGGTGTTCTGCAAACCAGTCCCCAAGCCTCCGCTTGGTTTCCCCGATGTAGAGGAGGCCGCAACGGGAACAGCGGATGCAGTATACCACATTAGCAGATGTGCAGGTGAACATCTGCTTGATGTGGAAAGTCTTCTTGGGGCCTGGGATGGGGGTGAGGGGGGAGATGTAGGGGCAGGTGTAGCACTTCCTGCAGTTGCAGGGAAAAGTGCCGGGGGTGGTGGGGCTGGAGGGGAGTGTGGAGTGGACAAGGGAGTCACGGAGAGAGTGGTCCCTCCGGAAAGCAGATAAGGGTGGGAAGGGTAAAAATGTCTTTGGTTCCCTTACTGATTAAGTATATTCAGGGCTGAGATTGGCAGATTTTTTATGACCCAGCCTCGATAGCCCTCTGTGGTTAAGAATTTCACAAATCCACTACTCTCATCTCTACTTAAATGGGTGACTTTTATTCTGCGATTATGCCCTTTGGTCCCAGACTCTCCTACAACGGAAAACAATCTTTCTGCCTTGACCTTGTCAAATCCCAAGAATCTTCTCTACTCTAATAGGGTCGCCTCTCATTTTTCTATTTTCCAACACTTACAGGCCCAATTTACTCAAACTCTCCTCAAAAAACAAAATCCCTGGCATCAGCCTAGAGAATGTTCTCTGGACTGTCTCCAAAACAGTACATCTTTCCTTAGATAAGGAGCCCAAAACCATTCACAGAATCCTAGCTGTAGTCTGACCTGCGCCCTGCATGATTTTAGCAAAACCTCCCTACTTTTATACATCATTCCCTTTAAAATAAAGGCCAACATTCCATTTTCCTTCCTTCTTACCTTCTGTTGTCGATTTTCAGAAAAATCCATCTGGTTCACTAATGTCCTTTAGGGAAGAAAGCTGCCATCCTTAACTGGTCTGGCCTACATGTGACTCCAGACCCACAGCAATGTGGTTGACTCTGAACTGCCCTCTGGGCAATTAGGGATGGGCAATAAATGCTGCCTAGTCAGCGACACCCCTCATCCCGTGAATGAATAAATAAAAATTGAATGCTAGCATTTTGTGATTCATGCACAGGGACTTCCAAATCGCTGTTCTGCAGTCTCTCTATTTAAATAATACTCATCTCCTGTAATTTTTCAGCCAAAGTGCATAACCTCACATTTCTTCACATTATATTCCACCTGTCAAGTTTTACCCACTCACCTAAACCCTTGACAGAATCTATCATACTCACCACTTGCTCTCTTACCTATTTTTAGATCATTGCAATCTTGGTTATTGTACATTCACTTAACTCAAGTCATTAATACATATTGCAAATAATCGTGGCCCTAGAAGTGATCCCTATGACACATCACCATCCTGAAAACTCTCCCCTTATCCCAACTGTCTGTGTTCTATTAGTTAGCCAATCCTTTGTTTATGCTAATATACTGCTTTCAACACCACGTGATCTTATGTTATTACATAGTCTAACGTGTATGGCCTTATCAAATGCTTCTGGAAATGCAAATATACCACATCCACTGCTTCTCACCTCAAAAGAATTCCAACAAATTTGTCAGGCATTACTTCCCTTCACGGAGCTATGCTGACTCTGCTTGATCACATTATGTACTTCTAAATGCTCTGCTATTACATCCTTTACAACAGACTCTAACATTTTCATAATAACAGATGTCTAGCTAACTAGCCTATAGTTTTTTTAACTCATTCAGAGGATGATGGTGTCTCTAGCTATCCCAGCATTTATTGCCCATCTCAGGGGGCAGTTAAGAGTCAACCACATTGCTGTGTGTCTGGACTCACATGTAGGTCAGACCAGGTAAGGATAGCAGTTTCCTTCCCTAAAGAACATTAGTGAACCAGATGGGTTTTTCACACCAACAATGGGCAATGGATTCACGGTCATGGTTAGACTCTTAAATCTGGATTTTTATTGAATTCAAATTTCACCATCTGCCATGGCAGAATTCGAGCCTGCGTCCCCAGAACGTTGCCTGGGTCACCGGATTAACAGTTGAGTGATAATACCACTAGGCCATCGCCTCCCCCAGAAGCAAGTCTGGAAGGCAAAGGAACTACATCACACACTTTTGTACGTAGTGAGTTCAGAAAGGCTAAATGGAATATATTTTAAAAGGAAGGTGCCTAAGGAATGAGGAACATGAGCCGAGGGCATGTGGAAGTGTGAATCATAGTTATGATCAAGACTTGGCTGAAAAATGAGCAGGATTGGCAGTTCAACATTCTTTGGTTACAGGTATTCAGAGAAGATAAAGCTGGAGATAGAAAAGTGGTTGGAGTCACAGTACTGACCAAGAAATCAATTATAGCAGTCAAGAGGGACAGTATCTTGGAAACGATCATCAAATTAGATAATATGGGCACAAAAACAACACAAAAGGCACAAAAGGGCTACAGCCTCCCTCCCTCCCCCACCAAGCAGTCAGGGAGAGATAGAAAACCAAATGCAAAATCAAATTTCAGAGAAGTACAAGAATAATAAGGCAGCAATAGAGGTGGTGGAGGCAGGTACAATTATAACATTTGAAAGGCAACTAGATAGGTATATGAATAGGAAGGGTTGAGAGGGATATGGGCCAAATGACAGCAAATGGGACTAGATTAATTTAGGAAAACCTGTCAGTATGGACGAGTTGGACCGAAGGGTCTGTTTCTGTGCTGTACACCTCGGTGACTCTAACTATAAGGGAATTTAACTAACCAAATTAACTGGCATAGCTTTTGTATGCAAGGTAGAAAGGGAGCAAAATTCTTCAATAATATCCAGGAAATTTATTTTAGTCAGTACGTAGAAAGCCCAACAAGAAAGGGGGAGTTCGGGACTTAATTGAGCCTGAGCAGATGGAAACCATATCAGTGGGCTCAATATGGTGGAGTCCTAAAGGAATATGAAAAGCATAACGGGAATTTGAAAAAAAGAAATTAAAGGAGCTAAGAGATTGCATGAGAAAGCATTGGCAATTGGAATAAAAGGAAAACCTAAAGGAGTTTAAAATAGGTAAAGAATAAGAATAACTAAGAAAATAGTAGGGCTCACTAGGGATGATAGAAATAGTGTGTGGATCTGGAAAGTGTGAGCATAGTCCTCAATGAATAGTTTTCATCAATCTTTACAATGGAAAAGTATGATGCAGGTATAGACAACAGGTTGGAGGGCTATGAAATGTTAGAATAAATTAAAAAGAGAGAGAGAGAATGGATTTTGCGGCCTTCAGGCCTGGATGAAATCAATCCCAGGCTATCGAGGGAGTAAATATCAAGGCTCTGGCAGTAATTTGCAGATCCTTTTTGGCTGCAGGTTAAGTTCCAGAGGACCGGATGACTGTTAACGTTGTCCCATTATTGAAAAACATTGGAAGGGATACAGCTGGAAGTTATAGGCCAGTCAGTCTAACTTCAATGGTCAGGAAGTTATTAGAAAGAAATTTAAAGGACAGAATATACCTGACCTTGGACAGACACTAATTAATCAGCACGAATTTGTTAAAGGAAGGTAATGGTTGACAAATTTGATCAAATGTTTTAAGGAGGTAACCGTGAGGGTTATGAGGTTAATGCATTTGATGTAGTCTGCCTGATCTTTGGCAAGGCTTTTGCTAGGTCCCTCACAGCAGACAGGTCAAGAAAGTAAGAATGGATATAGCAAACTGGCACATTGGATCCAAAATTCCTGAGAGGCAGGGAGCAGAGGATGATGGTAGTGGGATAACAAGGTGTCGAGCTAGATGAACACGGCAGGCCAGGCACATCAGAGGAGCAGGAAAGCTAACCTTTCAGGTCTGGACCCTTCTTCAGACCCTTTCTGAAGAAGGGTCCAGACCTGAAACGTCAGATTTCCTGCTCCTCTGATGCTGCCTGGCCTGCTGTGTTCATCCAGTCTACACCTTGTCATCTCAGATCCTCCAGCATCGGCAGTTCCTACTATCACCAATGATGGTAGTGGGATGTTTCTCAGAATAGAAGTCAGTTTCCATCAGGGTTCTACAGCATTCAGTGCTTGAGTTCCTGCTCTTTGCTGTCCAAGTCATCAATATCCACATCAGTGTTGATGTGTTCTCAAAAAAGTCATGGTTGGCACCACAAGAGGAGTGGTGAAAGGAAAATAACTCAGATAAGAGAACTACAGCAGATTTTGAAACTTGGGGATTGTTTTCCACAAAGTAGAAGGGTTAAGGGCAGATTTAAAAGACATGTTGCAAATTCTTTAAAAAAAGAAAGTTTTGATAGAGTAAATAAGGGAAAATTGTTCCCACTGGTAAAAATCAGTAACGAGACGACACCACAGTGTTCATAGCCCACACAAGTCTCTCCCTATTTTATCTGGCCTTGTTTAGGGATCCTTCTCTTTCTTTCTCCCTCAAGCACAGTACTCAAGCAGCTACTTGCATACTCAGCACTCACCTTCCCATACCATCTCAAGAGCCAGAGCTGTTTCATGGTCATGTGTTCTGGCAAAGGCTCATTGTCAAACAGTATTTGCACCTGCAGAAAGAAAGTCCATTATATTTTTGCAAACCATGGCAAAGAAACAAATCAATTCCTTGCTAGCCCTCCCTAGCTTACCTGTTGCTGATCAAGCACATTAATTCTGTGGCATAGAACTCTCCTCAGGTGCCTGATCTCTGCTCGGACTGAACATCGGACGTACTTTTGCTGCAAGTATTAAATAAAAAAAGAAAATATTTTAGTGGTTTTGTTTGGTTCTCACTTCACTCCCCTGGACACAAAGTATCAGGCTCATTTGCATGATATGATCAAATAAGTCCCTTCTATTATAAAAAAGCTCCATCAAGGAATTGAAAACACAAAGCCATACAGACCCCAGGAGGCCTCAGGTTTGGTGATCGAGTCATAGAGTTGTACAGCATGGAAACAGATCCTTCAGTCCAACTTGTCCATGCCGACCAGATATCCTAAATTACTCTAGCCTTATTTTTATTATTCATTCACGGGATGAGGGCGTCGCTGGCCACGCAGCATTTATTGCCCATGTCTAATTGCCCAGAGGGAAGTTCAGAATCAACCACATTGCTGTGGGTCTAGAGTCACATGCAGTCCAGGCCAGGTAAGGATAGCAGTTTCCTTCCCTAAAGGACATTAGTGAACCACATGGATTTTTCCAACAATCGACAATGGATTCGTGTTCGTCATCAGATTCTTAATTCCAGACATTTTTATTAAATTCAAATTCCACCATCTGCCATGGCGAGATTCACACCCAGAGTTATCTGGGTCTCTGGATTAACAGCCCAGTGATAATACCACTGGACCATCTCCTCCCTGATTTGCCAGCATTTACAAAGAACAAAAGAGAAGCAAGGCACAGGAACAGGCCCTTCGGCCCTCCAAGCCTGTGCTGATCATCATGTTCTGACTAAACTACAAAACAAACTTTCTGCCCTTATGAAGGGTCTAGGCCTGAAACGTCAGCCTTCCTGCTCCTCTGATGCTGCTTGGCCTGCTGTGTTCATCCAGCTCTACACCTTGTTATCTCAGATTCTCCAGCATCTGCAGTTCCTGCTATCTCTGAAACTTTCTGCCCTTATTCAGTCTGTATCCCTCTATTCCCTCCCTATTCATGTAACCATCCAGATGCCTCTTAAATGTCACCAATGTGCCTGCTTCTACCCCGTCCTCTGGCAGTGCATTCCAGGCCCCTACTACTCTGCATGAAAAACCTTCCTCACACATCTCCCTTAAACCTTTGCCCTCACCTTGAACCTGTGCCCCCTTGTAATTGAAACTTCAACCGTGGGAAAAATCCTCTGACTATCCACTCTATCTATGCCTCTCTTAACTTTGTAGACCTCTATCAGGTCTCCTCTCAGCCGCTGTCTTTTCAGTGAAAATAATCCTAGTCTTTTTAACCTTTCCTCATAACCAATGCCCTTGAGACCCGGCAACATCCTAGCGAACATTCTCTGCACTCTCTCCAAAGATTCCATGTCCTTCTGGTAATGTGGCAACCAAAACGACACACAATACTCCAAATGCGGTCTAACAAGGGTTTTATATAGCTGGAGAGATAGTAGGAGCTGCAGATGCTGGAGAATCTGAGATAACAAGGTGTAGAGCTGGATGAACACAGCAGGCCAAGCAGCATCAGAGGAGCAGGAAGGCTTACGTTCCACTCCCGTACATCTCAGATGTTCTCGTTTTTCAAGGACCGCAACTTCCCCCCCTCAGTGGTCGAGAACGCCCTCAACCGTGTCTCCCGCATTTCCTGCAACTCATCCCTCACACCCCCTCCCTGCAACAACAACCAAAACAGAATTCCCCTCGTCCTCACGTACCACCCCACCAACCTCTGGATCCAATGCATCATCCTCCGACACTTCCGCCATCTGAAATCTGACCCCACCACCAAAGACATTTTTCCCTCCCCACCCTTATCTGCCAGGAAGGACCTAAAGAGAGAGCTAAGAAGAGCCAGGAGGGGACATGAGAAGTCTTTAGCAGGTAGGATCAAGGAAAACCCTAAAGCTTTCTATTGGTATGTCAGGAATCAAAGAATGACTAGAGTAAGATTAGGGCCGGTCAAGGACAGTAGTGGGAAGTTGTGCGTGGAGTCCGAAGAGATAGGAGAGGTGCTAAATGAATATTTTTCGTCAGCATTCACACAGGAAAAAGACAATGTTGTCGAGGAGAATACTGAGATACAGTCTATTAGACTAGACGGGATTGAGGTTCATAAGGAGGAGGTGTTAGCAATTCTGGAAGGTGTGAAAATAGATAAGTCCCCTGGGCCGGATGGGATTTATCCTAGGATTCTCTGGGAAGCTAGAGAGGAGATTGCAGAGCCTTTGGCTTTGATCTTTATGTCGTCATTGTCTTCAGGAATAGTGCCAGAAGACTGGAGACGAGCAAATGTTGTCCCCTTGTTCAAGAAGGGGAGTAGAGACAACCCTGGTAATTATAGACCAGTGAGCCTTACTTCGGTTGTGGGTAAAGTGTTGGAAAGAATTATAAGAGATAGGATTTATAATCATCTAGAAAGGAATAATTTGATTAGGGATAGTCAACACGGTTTTGTGAAGGGTAGGTCGTGCCTCACAAACCTTATTGAGTTCTTTGAGAAGGTGACCAAACAGGTGGATGAGGGTAAAGCGGTTGATGTGGTGTCTATGGATTTCAGTAAAGCATTTGATAAGGTTCCCCATGGTAGGCTATTGCAGAAAATATGGAGGCATGGGATTGAGGGTGATTTAGCGGTTTGGATCAGAAATTGGCTAGCTGTAAGAAGACAGAGGGTGGTTGTTGATGGGAAATGTTCATCCTGGAGTTCAGTTACTAGTGGTGTACCTCAAGGATCTGTTTTGGGGCCACTGCTGTTTGTCATTTTTATAAATGACCTGGATGAAGGCGTAGAAGGATGGGTTAGTAAATTTGCGGACGACACCAAAGTCGGTGGAGTTGTGGATAGTACGGAAGGAGGTTGCAGGTTACAGAGGGACATAGATAAGCTGCAGAGCTGGGCTGAGAGGTGGCAAATGGAGTTTAATGCAGAAAAGTGTGAGGTGATTCACTTTGGAAGGAGTAACAGGAATAAGTACTGGGCTAATGGTAAGATTCTTGGTAGTGTGGATGAGCAGAGAGATCTTGGTGTCCATGTGCATAGATCACTGAAAGTTGCCACTCAGGTTGATAGCGTTGTTAAGAAGGCGTACGGTATGTTAGGTTTTATTGATAGAGGGATTGAGTTTCGGAGCCATGAGGTCATGTTGCAGCTGTACAAAACTCTGGTGCGGCCGCACTTGGAGTATTGCGTACAGTTCTGGTCACCGCATTACAGGAAGGATGTGGAAGCATTGGAAAGGGTGCACAGGAGATTTACCAGGATGTTGCCTGGTATGGAGGGAAGGTCTTATGAGGAAAAGCTGAGGGTTTTGACGCTGTTTTCGTTAGACAGAAGAAGGTTAAGAGGTGACTTGATAAAGACATACAAGATGATCAGAGGATTAGATAGGGTGGAAAGTGGGAGCCTTTTTCCTCGGATGGTGATGGCTAGCACGAGGGGACATAGCTTTAAATTGAGGGGTGATAGATATAGGACAGATGTCAGAGGTAGGTTCTTTACTCAGAGAGTAGTAAGGGCGTGGAACGCCCTGCCTGCAAAAGTAGTAGACTCGCCAACTTTAAGGGCATTTAAATGGTCATTGGATAAACATACGGATGATAATGGAATAGTTTAGGTTAAATGGGCTTCAGATTGGTTTCACAGGTCGGCGCAACATCGAGGGCCGAAGGGCCTGTACTGCGCTGTAATGTTCTATGTTCTATGTTCTATGCTCTCCGGAGGGACCACTCTCTCCGTGACTCCCTTGTCCGCTCCACATTCCCCGCCAGCCCCACCACACCCGGCACGTTTCCCTGCAACCGCAGGAAGTGCTACACCTGCCCCTACACCTCCTCCCTCACCCCCATCCCAGGCCCCAAGAAGACTTTCCACATCAAGCAGATGTTCACCTGCTCATTTGCTAATGTGGTATACTGCATCCGCTGTACCCGGTGTGGCCTCCTTTACATCGGGGAAACCAAGCGGAGTCTTGGGGACCGCTTTGCAGAACACCTACGCTCGGTTCGCACTAAACAACTGCACCTCCCAGTCGCGAACCATTTCAACTCCGCCTCCCATTCCTCAGACGACATGTCCATCCTAGGCCTCCTGCAGTGCCACAACCATGTTACCCGAAGGTTGCAGAAACAGCAACTCATATTCTGCTTGCGAACCCTGCAGCCCAATGGTATCAATGTGGACTTCACAAGCTTCAAAATCTCCCCTCCCCCTACCATCCCAAAACCAGCCCAGCTCGTCTTTGCCTCCCTAACCTGTCCTTCCTCCCACCTATCCCCTCCTCCCACCTCAAGCCCCACCCCCATCTCCTACCCACTAACCTCATCCCGCCCCCTTGACCTGTCTGTCCTCCCTGGACTGACCTATCTCCTCCCTACCTCCCCACCTACACTCACCTTTACTGGATCCATCCCCGCCTCTTTGACCTGTCTGTCTCCTCTCCACGTATCTTCTCCTCTATCCATCTTCTATCCGCCTCCCCCTCTCCCCCTATTTATTTCAGAACCCCCTTCCCCTCCCCCATTTCTGAAGAAGGGTCTAGGCCCGAAATGCCAGCCTTCCTGCTCCTCTGATGCTGCTTGGCCTGCCGTGTTCATCCAGCTTTACACCTTGTTATCTTTTATATAGCTGCGACAGGTTTTGCCAACTCTTGTACACCATGCCCCTGGGATAGATTCCATCGGGGACTAGGGACTTGTCTGTCTTAATGCAATTTAGGATACCCAAAACTTCCTCCTTTACTGTATTGACATTCTCTCAAGTATTCACACACTCATCCCTGGCCTCAACATCAGTCATGTCCTTCTCCTCGGTGAATACTGATACAAAGTACTTATTAAGGATCTCTCCCACTTCCTGTGGCTCCGTGCATAACTCCCCTCCTTTGTCCTCGAGGGGGCCTACTCTTTTCTTTGCTATCCTCTTTCTTCTAATATATGCACAAAAAGCCTTGCAATTCTCCTTAGGCCCATATCCCTCCAAACCCTTCCTATTCATGTACCCAGCCAGTTACCTTTTAAATGTTGTAATTGTACCAATCTACCCCATTTCCTCTGGCAACTCACCACCGTCTGCATTA